AAAAAAAAATTTAAAATATGTATTAGAAAGAAGACGCTACTAGTGACTGTATGAGAGGCTTTATTTATTTGTTTATTTATAGCATGCATCCATCTTTGAAATAATGTTTACTTTATAATTAAAAGTTTATTCAGCTTAAAATTTTTAAAGCGCCTTTTAATTGCCGAAAGTCAAACCAAGGTTTGTTTTCTAACAAGGATGCATTGTAACGTTAATTTTAGCGTTTACCAAAAGAAGCAATCGTTTCTGTTGAAACGATTCAGTTTTTTATCGTTTAGGTAATTATTAAAATAATTCTATTTTGGTTTTTAAGTCTAGGTTCAGACGGAGAAACTTTTGTCGCGGCAACTCGCTACTTGTGGGAGAGGGGGAAGGGCGCCGAGTTGCTCGTACTCGGGCAACACGCTTTATGCTCTCGTTCGTCGTGAGTAATTCTAGTTGGCCGTTCACAGCTGAAAACAACAATTTTGTACAAATGAATTCCTGTGTGAACGCGAAGGGCAACACCAAAAGAGAAATTGCCGAAATTGAGCAACAAAAGTTTCTCTGTAAAGGTGTTCACCAGGCTGACACCCTGGCGTTAAGGACCCTTAGAAGTTCTTGCCAAACCGGAACGTCGTTCCAGTAAACACAAAAAAGAAGGTTTTCGCACAAGGCGATTTCAGTGTTGCCAGAGAAAGTCGCCTAAAAATCTTTTTTTTTTCCAAAAAAATCTTCAAAATAAGATTTTAAAGCTTAAAAAATCGTTTCGATCCCAAAAAATCGTCATTTAAAAATACCTGAAAAGAAATTCGATATAGGCTGTAAATAGCCCTTATTACGTTGGTTGAAAAAATTACCAATTTCAAGTTATAGAGTCCTTTTTATAACAACTTAAACTTAAAATGAATATTGCCTCGTGTCATCACAAAATTTGTAGCACAGCTTACAAATGTATATATACACTGGCGAAAATATAAATAGGGACGTGACATCTTGCAAGTTTTGACCGATTTCAAAAAAGGAGGAGTTTATCAATTCGTGCGAATATTTTTTATGTATATATGTTACCGCATAACTTTGGACCACTTTAACCGATTTCGCTAATTCCTTTTTATCGGAAAGGTGGTACCTCAAGGGTGGTCCCTTCTAATTTGGTTTAGATCCGGACATTGGATCATGAAGAAATTGACGATCAATATTTATATGAGATTTGAAGTCATTTGAGTTTTCTGTTTAAAAATTATTTGTTCTTTTTTTATGAAAGAATAGCCATGTAAGTCCAAACTTCAATCTTTGTACAAAAGTTATGAAAATTCGACAAAGTTCCATACCAATTTACATGGATATTGTTTTATAAAGCTTACCGCTCCTTTTTTCTCGTTATACATTTATCTACGAAGACTCATCAGCTTAAATGGCAGTTTATTTAAAATGTTCCATTGTTGTCATTTAAACTAGAGGGGATACAAAACACCGTTTGTTCTTTCCCTCCTCTCTCTAAAGGGACATTCAAACAGACGCGGTATTGGAAGTGCGGTACAAGCAGTAAATACAATTTTAAATTTAACTTTAAAAATTTTACATCATACACACAAATCTCCATTTTGCAGATATTTTCAGTGTAAAATTTTGCTTTTTAAAAAATCCTTTTTTGATGATTTTTAATAAAAAAACAGCCCGAAAATTTTAATTTTCAAGATAAATCTAGACTTATGGCAACGCGATTTTGCGTTCAACTCACGCAGGGTTGCACGAAAAAAAAGTGGAATGGCTAAATGTTGGCTGGCGACCAACTTTGTTGAAAGCGATTAGATGAAAGGCCGTTCAACCAATGCAAACCCCTTTTTATGGCGAATATTTTGATATTTTTTTATATTTTGATATATTTAGCCATTAAATTTTCTTTTTCGTGCAACCCTGCGTGAGTTGAACGCAAAAGTTGCCTGAAAAATCGCCTTGTGCAATAGCCCCATGTGTGAACCTAGTTCAACGAAAAGAAATCAATCGTTAATTTTGAAGCTGTAGCATGCATTTAGGTGCTAAGTAGGGATGTCAGCGGCAAAAATACATCGATGTTTTTCTTTGATTCGAAAATAGACATCGATATTTTTCGATGCATCGAAGGCCATACATCGATGCGTCGATTTGCATAGGATATTTCAGATAATGCTTCACAACAAAATATGTTATTAGCAAAATTGTAAAAAATTTAAATTTCTAACGGATTTGTTTGGTCAAAGTCACTTCTGTTTTTTTTTGTACGATTGAAAAACTGGAACGGCGGTTCATTGTTCTAGAGATGTAAATTTTCAAAAAACTTCAATTCATCAATACATCGACTATTTATACATCGAGCAGAAAACTTACGATGCATTGAAGCAAAACATCTATATTTTCGATGCTTCGATGTTTTTCCGACAGCCCTATTCCGCCACACTGACAAAACTCACCGCGATGACAATTGATATAAAAATGACAATTGCAGCTTTTTGGTATTCGCAGCAAAATTCAAAAGCTCGAATCATGCCAATTGTCATTTTTATTGTCATGACCTTTTGGGCAGGTGACAAGGCAAAAACATATGTTTGTGTTGGTTTAAAAAGTGCGACGATTTAATAAAAAATATAAAAATCAACTAATTTCAATAGCAGAACAAATTTTAGTTATTTGCGCAGCCGTGCTTGTGGAAGACGAGCAGCTCCGGATGCTCCCTACAAAACTGCACATAAAATTGCAGCTGCTCCTGCGTCGTCCGCTCATATTTTGCATGTCTAAAATGTTTATAAATTTTATAAATATACGAATTTATATATTTCACACAAATACTCACTTTTCTGGTGTTTCACCGCTCATATTTTTTGCAAATAATAGCGTTGACCAGCTGTTTCTACAACAATGAACTTTTCACCATGCATGGTAAGTTGATAAAAGCTTTTCGCTAGTCATTGTTTGTTAGGAATAGCAACGTGCAACGACAATGACAAAATCACGACAATGAAGGATGATCAATTGTCATTCTGTTGCAAAACCGGATTAGGGCTGTAAGTGAGCTGGCAATGGCATACAACAACAACTTTTAGTTGATTTATTTTGTTTCGATTTTAAACGATTGATTTATTTCGTTTCAACGTTAATGATTGAGTTTTGTTTCTTTAATTCAACTCTGGAACGAAACGAAATTATTTTGATAAGTTATTTTTGCGCATAAACAAAACGAAATCGATTCACATAGTTCGTTGAGCATCAACTCATTAAGCATGATTCAATAATACAAGGTTAGATAATTATTGACAGCCGCGGTTTGACACTCCCTTGCAAAAAGTTGCATTTAGGAAGGACAGAGAAAGGGGAAGAATGCAAACCCTTGTAGCGAAAATGGTAGTAGAAAAGTACGCAAAGAAGGCACTTAGTAGTGAAATTCCTTTTAATCAGTTTTGTCTTTCAATTTCCTCACACAGATTGCTTATCAAAAATTATCAAAATTTAAAGTCATTACGTAGGCTGCATTCAATTTGAGAATCAATTTCATTATCAACATGTCGTCTTCAAGAAATCAATGTAACTAACTAGCTTCTGAAGACAATTTTCCATTTTTAATTCCATTGTAGATTAACATTTTATCATGCAGAAGCTTAGTATTTTTTTATTTTCACAAAATTGAAAGCAAAATTTAAACTCAATTGAAAGGGAAAAATTGAAAGCAAGTTGCCCATTCAAGCCACCCTGTGGGGAAAATCTCTAGCTCTGAACTGGGGCGCTTCTAGTAAATTTAGACCCAGTACTGGTTCCCGATAAATCTCTTTTGCATGCAAGCAACTGGCGAATTTAACATGGCGATGTCCTAGAAAGTGTCAATTGCCCCTCGCTGCATCCCTTTTTCGATAGTTCTGAACTAGTCCTAAATTCTATAGTTCCGAACCAGTTCTAAAATCGACAGACGAAAGAAAAAAGTATCATGATTTTCAATATTTTTGGTTCTTCCGTGTGTGCGATTTTAAGTTATTTTGGAAGAAGTGTTTTTAATTTGACATTAAATTTGTTTGAATAATTGTAAGAAATCTACGCTTACATACCTTTAGCTGTAGCTGAGTTTGCAGAGGTGCTCGCTGTTATTTCTTATATTCCAGACGGTCCCAAGATGTTGAAATGTTAACACAAATTTTAGTTTTGTATTACCAAGCTATGAAAAAGCATCTGCGAAGCACAGAATAGAAGCGTATTTGAACGAAAAAGCCGCCGAACATACATCTATGTAAAGTAAACAAGCCCCCGCTGCATCCCTTATTCGATAGTTCCGAAATAGTACTAAATTCGACAAATAGGATCTAGTTCGTTCTGCATCCCTTTTTCTATAGTTCCGAACCGTTTCTAAATTCGTCGCTTTAGATATAGATTTCTAGTGAAAAAACTGAAAAAAATAGTTTCTTAAAAGTACCACTTTTCGCCGATTTTGGACGGGAGGGGATCTAGTTTCTATCGGACTACTTCCTTTTTGGCGATAAAGACCTAGAAATTTGATTCACTAGTCCGCGGTTTCCCTGCAAGGCATAAATAAGAGTGTGTTAGTGAAAAAGTGTGAGTGTATTGAAAATTGAAAGGGGAAAATTGAATGTGTAACGTCCCGGATAAGAACCTAGCCAGCAAAAAAAACCGAAAACCTATCCGAAAAAGGACAAAAAAGTGGATGAAGTGCGGATTTTTGTCCGTTTTCCCACTAAAGTGTGCGGCAGAAAAGTAAGTACAGACAACAGTATGTGAAACGAATAGGTTTTCGTCTTTTTTTCTGAAATTCGGTCTGATAGAATTTTTCGTTCAATACGCCTTCCTTCTGCACTTCACATATATTTTTTCATGGTTCAAAAGAAATAAAATAAAATTAGGAAACGCCTGACGGAATTCGAACCCGGCACTTTCTGGAAGCTAACGAATAGCGGCACACTCCTCTGCACGCTCAGCCACTGCCGACTACGCATGTATGCTGTCAAATGTTCAGCTTAAGCAAATAAAATACAATTATTGCGTTTTCCGTATACGAAAATTGATGATAACTGTAGGAGTTTTTTGTATGCGTTTTCGGATACGGAAAATTGATCTTAACTGCACTGTCGGCAAAATTTACGTTTCTTTGCTGGCTGGGAAAATATTTAAATTGGACTTCA